TTTGACTAAAATAAATAAATAAAAATTGAATTTGGATTGAATATTTATTTTAACAGATAAATGGAGATAAACACAAATAAATTGACTTCCATGTATCTCAAAGCACACGTGTGTCAAGGGCAGTGCTATGTTTCGTAGAATTTTTCGTGATTTTTCCTCTTGATAAACTACACACGCTGATTTTCCGTTTGATATTACGGCTTATTATATCATGGGGTAAATCTTTATTCAGACGTTACTCATGTGTGTTAGTTTGTAGTAAAATCCAGTTGTGTCACGGCTCATGAGACAGACAGATGGGGTCCACATATCATGTTGTTTTTTCCTCAAAATCCTTATGTTTATAGGAAGAGCTTTAACCATCAAGCTCTCGACACTTGGAAGAACACTGGTTAAATGTGGTGTCTGCACATGATCTAGTGCATAGGTGTCAAAGTCAAGGCCCGGGGGCCAGATCCGGCCCGCCAGACAATTTCCAGTGGCCCCTGAGATGATTTCAAATTATTAAATTAAATAGCAGCATTGATGGTTGTGAATGGCATGTTATCCATTACTAACAACCATAAAACTTAATTCCATAAGAAATGTTAAGCTAAAATGTCATTAGAAGTTAGTATTGTTATGTTTTTTACGAGTCTTCAATTACATTTCTTCTTAAAGATATGAAGGAGGATTTCCCAATTTTCTTAGGAAAGAACCGCCCTCTACACGTTTTGAACAAAACTGTCTGGTCTTATTTGATGAGCACGAATCACCAGAATGATTGACAGTTGGGAGGACCAATAGTCTTGATGATCCACCCGGAAGTAGAAAATCTTCCCATATACCTTAGATATTTGGTCCAGTTTTGGTTCAGTCCACAGGAACTGAACTAATTCTAATCAGAAAAGTATATCCAATCTAACAAATGTGAAGTACTTTATATAGATGCCTTCATATTATAAAAAAGTATAATAAATGAAACCCACTTATTCTTTCGGCCCCAGACCAGCCCTTTCATTTTTTATTCGGCCCTCAACCAAAATAAGTTTGACACCCCTGCTCTAGTGTGACACTCCGTACGTGGGACAAGACTTGGGGGATCTGCCTCCTAATCTGCCTCATAAACGTGCCAGAGCTTAAGCCTGGATAACGTAGCAGTGATTATTATTCATGTCAATGTTTTGATCTTAGTTTATGAGACCTAAACTTGTCTTGTCTCCCGATTATTGTTATTACCATCAATATTAATAGTATTATCCATATTTTGTGTAACATCAGTACAGTCACGATGTGTGTGTGTGAGTGATTGTGTGTGTATTTGTTATGGTTGCTTTTTTATTTTTATTTTTTTATTATTACTATTTGTTTTGTGTTTTTTTTTTTTTTTTTAATGATTTTCTTTTGTCTTATTTGCATCTGTTTTGCTGTATCTGTCCTTGTGAAATCTTGAGGACCCGCTCGAAAACGAGATGATTCATCTCAAGGGGCTTATCCTCTAAATAAATAAATAAATAAAATTATGGATGATTATAAATAAAGTGGGTCGGACCTTCGCTGGCAGCTCTGTGTCCGGACACACTGGGGTTTGCTGGACAGATGTAGCATTTCCGCTTCAAAATGTCAATATATCTATATAGATATGGATATACAGTATATAAGTGCAGATAGTTTGGATTCATTACTTTGGTTTAAAAGTACCAGGGAATTTGTGGATACCTTTCTTAAATAACACGGACATAATTTGTCCATCAGAAAATATTTCTTTTCCACTTGTATTAGAACCAAATAGTATTCAAGCTAGGCACTTATTGAATTGATTTTGTTTTTTATGACATACTTAGAGACAAGAAAATTAATTGCCACATCTGGCATTATGTCCCAAATAGTTTCAGTCTCTGCGTTTCAAATATTATTCAAAAGATTATTGATCAAATAATGTTCCTATAAAGAGCAGCTCAAGGCTACTGCTCTTAAACCAGGACGTGAGCCAGACTTGACGATAAGGGGAGAACTGCACTTTTGGTTGGTCGCATTGCAGATGAAAAAACACCCATCCTCTACATAAAAACGTTAGCCAGTCAACATTATTTTCAATCAGTCGAGAGGGAGCATCGGAGTCCGAACCCGAGACCTCTTAATCCGGAGTCTAATGTTCCACCACTGAGCTACACCCACCTCTCCTTCCAACTCTAAAACAAAAGATCAACAAGCATTTTCCCGGTAATGACCAGCAGGCCACAAGACAAGATTAAGTGGCAGTGTCAGAAACTTTCTATTCTTCATGGATTCTCTGTGGATAAAAGCAAGCAAAAACTCTAAGACAAGTTTGTGGATGGATTCTTACATTGTGCAACTTGTGCTTTGATCTCATTATCGCTGCTGACAGTAAGACGACAATTGTAGACTGAAGAAAGCAAAGAAGCAAGGTTGCCTGTCTGCGCCGACCTTGCCTAGGATCTTGAATGATAATTATGTTTATAGCTATTGTACGCTGAATCTGGGGAATTCTCCTGTTCATACTGAAAATCTTTTTAACCGGCCAATCGCAGCGCAGAAGGTTACTTGGTAGTTTAGGGACAGGCGAGTGAGTGGAACAATATCCAAGACAATTGTTATACACACAATCATACATCATCATTTTACTGGAGAGAAGAACATTTGTCATTTTTAGGGGGCATTTTATACAGAGAGATAAGAGGCTAGGTAATAATCAACTGTCCTACTTCCAAATGTCTTCAAACAGTTGGTATATTTTGCAGCACTGAGCCTTTTAAACAACAATTCTAAGTTTGTGTTAGCCCATTTTAGTGGAAGGAAAAAACCAGCAGATTTCCAAGCTTTTTCTTTACAGTCACCTTTGACGATATTTAAGGGAACTGAAGATTTATAACACCATATCCCAGACTAAATGCTAGAGATGCATTTTTCTTGACATTCAAATTTGCTTTGAATTTCACTATTCATTAACCTCATGCAAAGTAGTGGTAAACCCTTTTGTCTTTTGCGTCATTGTGGAAGTGGACTTGTGTTTGAGCTTACTGTCCAGCTCTATGATCCACTTCACTGTCAGCATGTTTTTTTTGTTATTTTGTAAGGAACATTATTATCATTTGATAAAACGTCTCTCAAAAAATGTTCAATCACCGACATGTTTCTCGGAAAACGGGAGCAATGTATTTTTGTAAAGGGCTTTGGGTGACCTTGGTAAAATGTGCTATATGAATAAACATTACTTACTTACTTTTTGTGAGCAATAATTTTGTATTTGAACATTCCCATCAATGTCGTGGGTTTTCTATAATTGTAAAAACAGTTAAACATGAACTTGACTGTTGAGGTTGACAGAGACTAGTGTGGACAAACAGCAGTAGCTCTTAGGTTTTCCATCTGAGTTATATTAATGACACCCTTATTAGTCCCACGGGTTGTTAGACTTTATCTATTTATTTATTTATTTATGTATTTCATTTTCCTATTTAATACCTATTTCCACAATTTGAATTTGCTATTGTGAGAAAATATCTTTGCTCCTGTATATTTGGGGCGGAAAAGGGACTTTCAAAACATTGCATCAAGTTCTGGATGCAAGTCATTGTATATTCAGGAGGACTGATAACCTGTCAAGAGTTAGTCTCACAGTGACTTCAAACAAATTTGATTTGTGTAAGAAATACCAAATATATCACGATGGAAAGATGACACCCTGTTTTTAGTGGATTACTCATTTTATTTCCCCTTCACATGGGACTTTTCCTCTGGATTTTAGGTGTGTTGAAAATACAGAAGTGCTGCTACCCTGATGCCGAGACCTGGATCCCTCGCCCCGTCCTATTAAAGTTGATTGAACATGATGCATCTTTAATTAAAGCTGCACTAACTGACTTTATTTTTGTATTAATTACGAAAATGCTATCCATGTCCGTGTAGGGCATTGGGATATACGTCCTTTTGACGAAAAAGTAGAGCAGATTTGTGCTGGTGTGACGTTATATTTTAGTTTTGATGAAACAAGGAAGAGAATGTGTTTCGGGTCGCAGATTGTGACCAATCACAGCGCACCACTAGCCCCCACTTTCGTAAGAAATCTACAGGTCCGTTAGCATAGACGGCTGAGTTAGCACAACAAGCCGAGGAGCTAACCTGAAGCTTCGTGTGTCTTCGTCACCGGTTACTGCTTACACAGCGAGACAGCCATCCAAGAGAAAGTCTCGTTCCTCCGCGCTTCCCGGTTCTATCGTTCTATGGTCACGCCATCCACGTGAAAATCCATATCCATGTATTATCCATATTGGGAGGAGCTAGCTCTGTAAACAACAGTGGGTGTGTGTGGGGGGCGATAGCTTCGTGGGTGCGGGGAGGGGAGCAGAAAGAGAGGCCAGCGGGTCCACGACTTCAAAATCCCAAAGTCAGTTAGTGCAGCTTTAAAGTGTGAAATTCCAGTCCATTTGGCGTTACTGGTTTGAACCAATTCCAACTCCAACTAGCATTGGAACCATGTAGATAATCCCCATAAGACAATGGCCAGCTGATTGAAGAGCATAGGCATAAGCCATGCCTGTGTTAAAAATGTATGTATTCAGGCGTATATATGGAAACATGGTGCGTTTAATTGTGCAGTGGAAATGACTCGTTCTGGAGTGTGTGTAACAATCAAATGCTGAAAACACAGAATATATGATAGCAATTTTATTCTCAATTACTTACTGTTCCAAAGTGTTCCACAGAGATGGGATCTATAGTCAGACCTTTTTTTAATATAATCTGTAACCTATTCAAAACAGGTATTTTAGAAAGTATTATAGGTTGTTCAAGCACCTGATTAATAATAACTTCTTCAAGTGTAGCCTTTGGTTCTAGCCCCACTTCTGAAACGGGGGGGGGACTGTCAACAGATCATAACTCTTATGATGACCATAAAGATGACTGATCTCTCTGAGGCAATACCGGGCAATGAAACCCCTCGTGTGCACAGCGGTGGGCAGAGCATTTGACTGTGTTCTCACGTCGACATCACTGACCTCTTTGCAGTCACAGCCACTTTTCTCTGGCAGAACACGGACACGGTGAAGGGAGTGGCACCGCGGCCCGGCTCCACCACGATGTCCCAGAGCGCAGAGTCACTGGGCCGAGCAGCGCTGAATGAGAGGCCACTCTTCACTGTCGCCCTGAAATATACACATATGCAGATGCACACACACACGCACACACACACGCACGCACACACGCACACACACACACGCACCACACATACACACACACACAAAGGGGTGAGTCAGGAACAAGCCGACCAGCACAGAACACTGTCAGGTCATGTTTTTATGAACTGCAACATTGTTTCTGTGGGGGATGCTGAGATCTGATTTAGTTTCTGAGGATTAAATGGAAATATAGGTGAGTGGGTGCTATTTGGTGGGCCATAGTTAAAGCTGGGGTACCTAAGTTTTGACTCACAAACAATTCAACTACGGCATGAAATACATAAAACCATTTATTGGCTCAAAAACATTTTGGTTTTATTAAAAAATTTCAGATTGCTGTATTTCTGGCCCTGTCACATCTTCAGAGCAGCGTTTACAGCCACGTCCCTCACACGTCACAATCAGTGTCAAGAGTGAATCACAGTGTTTTCAACCAGTTTTCAAATAAGACGAATAATAAGACTAGAGCTGAAATCTGAATCTAATAACTCAAATAATTTGATTATTAAAAATAGTAAATAGGAATTTAAGCTGCATCGATGCTTCGTATACAGTTGTTTATTTTTGGCATTTTGCTTTGTTTGCTTCATAGACTTTTCGCACGTTTCGCACAGATTCTTTTTGTGTTGCGCAGCATGTTTACGTCACAGATCTTACGTGCCCTGCTCTACACAGCACCGGTCTGCATGGTCCGCATGCATCACTAGTGTTTGTAAATCTTTTTTGCGGACAATGCATGGATCTATTATAATATCAATGGAGGACGACGGAGAAGGCACTGGCAAAGACTGGAGAGTTAATAAGAGTCTAAAGAGTGGGAGCACTTCACTCTGAACACTAAACCAGAGTAGTTTGCACCTGACGAGGAAGCACCGAGGGAAGACCCGAGACCAGGTAAGTTAACTTTCATGTTTTGGTGTAAGGCGCGCCTTGTGAAAGTAAAATGTTGATAATTATGATAACACAGAGGGGTTTTCCCGTTAACAGTCAAACACTGCCAAAGCAGCAGGTTGGAAACTATCAATGTAGCCGCTGTTCGCCTACACTTAACCTTTCATTAGTTAATGCTGTGATGAAGCAGAAAGATTTATCAGTATCTACATAAGACATGTGTTATGAAAGTTTGACTTATTTTGACATTCACTACAATCCTAGAGCCAACGGGAATTATACTACTCCACAACAGTTATTTGAACTCCGTACATTAAATGCCTGTGAACACTGGACCAAGATCCATCAGCAGTTACAGAACTGTAGGAATGAGGAGCACACGGTACAAAAGATGTGAACAATAACAATATATCACAATTAAATAAAAGCTCTAACTTTTAATAGAAAAACAAGTATAAAAAGCTTCAGTGTAGTACTGTATAGTGTCATATATAGTCAGACACATGTGGTTCTATATTGTATATTATAATTATTGCAGAGATGCACGACATGTGAGGGCAGCAGTGTTTCTCTAATATAGGACATATTGAATCTGGAAGGGGTGTGCGATTGACAATTAACGTCTGCTTATCCCTGTCTTTCGGTAAACCATCACAGCCTGTTTAGGACCAGTTCCTGCTCTCAGCACCAGCAGCTGTTCTGACGGATAGGATTTTAAATAAGCTGCTCAGAGACATGCGCCTCATCTGATTCTGTTCGATTTGGAAGGACTCGAAAATCAACCGTGGCACAGGTGCCATTGCCGCTGCCATGTCTTCTTTTGATAATATGAATGCAATAAACTGTATACAATTTAAAAACAGTTGTCATTATTAAATGGTTTTCATTTGATATTGTATATTTCAATTCCTCGATTAATCGATCTGTGTATTCGATAGAATAATTGATTACCAAAATATTTCATAGCTGCAGCTCCAAATAAGACTGCATGTAGTGGTCAAATTTGTTGACCACTGTTGTTAATTATGAAAACAAATAAATTAGGTATCCCAACTTTAGGGCTGAAAAAGATTTATTTTTATTTTTATCAACAAGCGGTAACAGCCTCCATGCAAACTCTTCTCACCCTGTCTGTTCTCGCATTGTCTGCATATGTTGTCTCTACCACTAAAACATAGAGCATTCATTAACATGCACTACAACAACCACAAAGACAAATACAATGATAATTGTACTTGATGGTTAGTCTTACAAAGATAAGAACCTGGATTGGATGAGCATTTTAAAGGTGGACCTGGATCCCCATGGAAACAAGACACATGTTTTGATGCCTAAATGAGTGTATAAATGTGGATCTATCCTCGTATACCATTTTCACGAGACAAGTAGATGATGGACTTTCCACAAAAGAACGTGTTTGTGTAAACAGCATTAGGATTTGTGATGGAGAAATGCAGTATTAGTGTTTTTGTTCAAGGTTGAGAAGGAGACAGTCAGCTCTACAACTTACAGTGTTTGATTGTATCGTGTTATATCTGTAAATCAACAATTGTTTTAAATAATTTATTTATATTTATTCATTTTATTCCACATCCTCATGGATCGAGTCAAATACAGTTAATATATACAGCATGCCTTGATGTGTATATATGTATGTACTGTATGTATGTATGTACTGTATGCATCAAACTGAAATTTCCCCATTGTGGGACGAATAAAGGACCTTCTTCTAAAAGCGGCATATCCTGCTCCCCAATCACATCAAATCTTTTTTTTTAAAGGAAAGAACAACAACAATAAATACATGTTCGCACAATGAAATATTATTTTAGTTTGTTAATCGAACTGTTACACACCATTTGAGCAGGAATGTCGAGGCAAATGTATGCACATTTTGTTAATAATCTCCTTTCTCTCTCCTGTTTAGTGTTAGTTCTGTAATACCAAATTCTGAAACAGGGTTGGACAAAGCAAATGCTTATTTGGCTCCAACACTCTCACTCATTCAACACAACCCAACACCATACACCTTTCTCCCACTGCTCACTCTGCTGAAGACATCACAGTCCAGTCGCCACTGAGCATCAGCTCTGCACTTCCATGTGACACAGCACTTTAATCTGGAGAGACTCAGAAGACAAAATGCAGTTTGAATGTTTTTATTGATAGGTAGTTTGGCGTCCGTCTACCAGAGTGAACCTTCGCGAAGCTCCATTTTTGGATCAATAGTACAAACTAAAACAAACGCAGTAAACTCAATGACAGACTGCATTAGAAACTAAAGAAACACAGAGACCGGTGGAAGCAGCAGTTGGCGAGATGTTGGCCACAGAGCGAAGAAACAATCCATGTGAGCTGGACAGCAGTGGTCAGACTGGCTGACCAGAGCCGCAGAGAGAGTGGGGAGGAGTGGGGGAAAACCGGGAGGTATAAGGCAGAAGTCTGTTTTTTCCATGTCTCATTTGTGACTAATACAAGACACATGACGTAAATTAATGAATATTGTTGAATGATATTCGCAAAAATTAAAAAAAAAAATCAAAAAGTAAACACAAATGTTTCAGAGTCCCTAAGGCATTAGATATATGTATTCCTGCTTTAAATAAACGTATTGGAAATGTTTTATTTAGCTATACAATAAGTTTGTTGTTTTTTTCTTTTAAAGAGACATGCAGCCTCGCGGAAATTCAACTCTGGAAGACTGACGGCTAAAGCCACCCCTTCAAGGCCGGCCTCGCATCCTCAGCCTATCGCACAGCAAACGCCCATTTCCAACCAACCTATGCTGGTCAAGCCAGCAGCCTAAAAGTGGAGAAACTCTCACTTTACGGCCTTCTCGAAGCCTTGCAAACCACCGCCTCCCATCCACCTCCTTTTCGCACCCTGCCTCAAGCATGCCTCCTTCCTGCTGCCCGAATGCCACCACCAGTGCCAAGGTCCTGGGGGGATTGTGCGCGCACTCACGCAGGAGCCTCGCTGACTAAACGCCAAACCACCTTTCAATAAAAACATTCAAAATGCATTTTGTCTTCTGAAGTCTCTCCAGATTGAAATAGCATTGTGCTTGGTAAGTTGTGTTACATGTTTGTGTTCCAGAAAATTGTCCTTTGGAAGAAACAAAGGTGGCAGACCCCTTTTCTAACTACGCTCCTCCAGCAAATATTACTGGTGATTCATATTCCAAAGGGACGGAGTGTTTATTATGAAAAATACTGAATTTACATCATATTACGATGTCATATTGTCAAACATATGTAGTCTTTTACAAATGAAATACTCATAAAGTGGCAGGCATTCTCCAGCCATACAGGCACAGCCATATGACACATTATATCAAACGGCACATATATGCATAGGTCTCATGTTTACTAATGCCTAACGAGATGTGTCACCGAGAGAGAATTAGCAGCAGTGTGAAATCCCATCATCCCTGCTGAGAATCAGTTAATCAGCGCCTTCATTCACACACTCACATAATCACACACAGAGGATGAGAGAGGATGGGTAGCATGCTTTTTATGAATAATGCAGATGAACTAGACGGCCTGTGAGGTCCCATGAACAGAAAAGCTTTGATTTTTTTTAACCAGAAAGTCTCCTTTGAGTTTCTGCATGACACAGAGCATTCACAATTCAAAGTGTATGCTTTTAAGAACAGTTTCAAGAGTCAAACAAAACCAGATTTTTGTATGAAGGACTGCAGCATGTGGTGGCTGTGGCCCTGTTCATACAAAACAATTAGGAAGTCATTTGATTTGCAAACAGCAAGGATTTTAAAAACGTGAATGACAAACTAAGAACCTTGGAAATGGATCAAAAACATCTCACTGTATATGTGTATATTCTGTACAATCAATCTCACCCGTTATATCAGATGACAGAATAAACTGATTGGACATTGACGATGGGTGATTGTCTAAAGCCCTTATTGCTAATCTTGCATAATGTACTGATTTGTATAGGGTAATTAAATATCGTTGTGTAATTATTGTGTCTCCAAACTCTAGCGTTGAAATTAGATTTCAACGCTAAAGTTTGGATTTTCTCAAATAAACAAGCTTTTTTCTTTTATGAAC